GTATTCACGACTTTTTTGCTTCTGGCTTCTGGCATTTGCACAGTGTGAGAGCCTATCCCACTAATCACCAAGAACATCATCATTGTTGTAGCTCATTTTAATAATTCATAATATTAAACCAAAGTTGCTGGAAAAAATTTTGCCAGCAAGAATTTGCAAACACGAAAAACATGTGGTTGTGGCGCATGGTTGCATTTTTGTCTACAATAATTTGAATAAATTAGTTCATTAAATTTAAAAATTTATAAACACGAGCGATTTTTTTATGAAAAAAGGAAGTAAATAATTGTTGATATAATTAATTTAGTTAATTCCAATGATATGAACTTAATTCGGCTGAAAAAAATGGTATTTGCACTCGGAATGCAATTGCAACCAGAGTCGATTTAAGAAACCCGACAGCTAGTACGATGAAGAAATTGAAATGTATGTTAAAGAAAGTCAGAACAACAAGAAATATACATGTATATCCTGTTTTTGGCCATCCGAAAGAATTTTAAAAATTCTATAAAAATTTTTTATGTTTGAAATGCAACCGTGGACGCCAGCTGGCAGCGAAACTTGCAAATTCCTGCAAATTTGCGTTCGTGCAGAAATTTGCAAGTTTCTCAACATGAGAGAGAATTTGAGAGAATTTTTTCTTACTCTCTGATATTTTGAGTGTTGGATAATTCTTGCTGGATTTTCGACGAACAAACCTTTTACCAGCAAAAATTCTTCGGGTAAAATCCTGCAACTTCTGACAAAGAGAGGACCGATTTTACTCTCCCATTTTTCCCCTACTTTGCCAGAGAACCGAGTACGGGAACGCGCTCTGGTAAAATCCTTGCAACTTCTTGCGAGTTAGGGAACGCAACTATTCCTAGACTAATGTAATGTACATTAGGTTGGGTGGGTCCCCATACAAAAGAAACAAGTTTGTTTTAAAATCGAGTTACAAATAAAAATGTTATGAAGAAACGTAAATTTTGGTTGTTTTTAGAGCGCCAGAATCCTTTCCAAGTAAGCTCTCAAGCTAGGGAGGTCATTACATTATTTCACGACTCGGTCTAATGTACAAACATACATGCAAAAAAAACCTTAACTAACTAAATTTTTTGTATTGCTAAAATGATGTGCGGACTTATAATTCGATGAAATGCATCATAATAAATCGAAAAGGGAATTTGGGATTTTACTTAGTTACGGCTTTTTGTATTTCAGCGACGATGTGAGATAGGGGCCTTCCTATATGATCTCGATAATCTCGAAATCCCTCTTGGTTTACTAACAATTAAAACTCAAATATTTTTTTGTTTTTTTTTTTACATATAATCTTTGTATTTTTAGTTATCATTCACTTATTAACATTCACTACAAACACGAGTGTATATCTTCTTATAACCATTTCTTTTGTTTCTTTATTTATGTACTTATTTTTGTTTGTTTTCAATTTTTCATTTACTTACGTCTTATTACCTTTTTTACCAGGTTTTTTATTAAGATTCTCAACTAATTTTATGCTTTTTATCTTTATACTCGAATTACAAATACGTACACAATGTTATAAGTATTTAGTTCCTGACAGTATGGAAAAATGTTTAAATATTTATTTTATACGTTTGTTTTATTTTAAACTTAGTTTTGTTGCATTTTTTGTAGGATTTGTTTTTTTATTAATCGTAGGTAGTAAAAAAGTAAAATAAATCAGAAAAATCGTGTAAATGTGCTCTTACATACAACAAGGTTTGTTTGTGTTTATTTTACATTATTTGGCGGCTAACGCAGAAGAACAATACATTTATACCGATGTTGTTGTATCCATATATACTATGTATATGCATATAGTTTTTTTGTGTTTTTTTTTTTGTTTTGAAGTAGCACGAGCTGAGTTCCAAATTATGCATTTCTTCTAAATGTTCTTCCTCGGTGCGGTGGCTGCTGTGCGTTTTATAGATGAACCCAAAATAAAGTCATATTTTTTGATATACAAATTTAATTTTTTGAAAATTTCCGGTGGTGTTGCTGCTTGAAACTTAAAACACTTCTCCAACGTTGTTGCACAAATTTGAAATAAAAAAGTACTAATTTAGGTAGGCTCCTTTCCGAGTTGACCATAGTGGTGTTATGACTCATATCATAGGATATACAATAAAGTCGTATGCGTGCGAAAACACATCGTTGCTATTATAGGCAGGGATTTAGACGGAAGCGGCAAGTGTTTTTTTATGTTTTCTGGTAATGGAAATGTCATCCTTGTTGTTATTGTAGTATATGTAACATGTAAATAAAACTGTACTCTATATGTATGTATGTATGTATGTATGTATATTTGTATTGTGCCTTAAAGCATTGTGTTATTATTGTTTTCATTGGTCTACTAGTTGGCGTATGTTTTCACCTGAAGGTCGTCATATCTTCAGCTCTCATGTACTTGATGAACTTAATTAATTCCAATGCTTTACATATTTATGTAATCACCAACCCAAGCTGGTGAACTGCCACATATGTATGTAATTGTGTGTGTATGAGCGTGTGTGTGGAATCTATGTGGACGCTCATATTGAAGCATAGCTTTGTGGCGTAACAACGCCTGCGCACCAGTCCAACACCTCTTGCGTTGCCATCTCATGATTTCGCGCGCGAAGTAAATCTGGTTAGTAGGCGGTTGTTAATTTTACATCAAGTGTGCACTTCTTATACCTTCCTAAACCTAAGCTTTGTTTTTCAATCTCTTGTATGCATAGTTCTGGCATTTGATTTTTCAGTTGTTTTGAGTTTCTATGAAAAATTTCCGCCACTGTTATTCGTTACACTTCTGTTATTTTTTTCTTCTTCATTTCGGTTACTTCAGTTATATTTGCACTTTATAAAATAACCAATTTCTGTTTTGTTGTTAATGTATTGTTGTTGTTGTTTTTTTTTTTTTTTTTGAGGTGGTTCAATGAGATGGGCTCTGGAATTACACATTTTAAGAAGAGAAGAGAAAAGAAAGAAGACACATTGATTTTTAAAACACTGAAAAAGTATAAGTATTGCTACACAAAACAAGCATTACAATGCAGTACGATAATGATGATGATAATATTAAAGGGACACCTTGAAGACATGATAAAACTGAGGAAACAAGTTAAAGTAATGCAATTAGGATGGAACAATACTTAAAAACACTGGCTTTAGAAGAACGGCGGCTTAAAATAATAAGCACAATAGGAAGGAAATTACTATTAAATTTGGCTGTATGTTATTTATCCTAACAAGTTTTATTTTGGTTAGACTTTTTGCGACGATCTATGCAAAAAAAAAACATGTATGTATGTAACTAGGCAACTTTTTCCTGAAAACACATCCACTTATAATACATACATACAGTGAGTCAAACAATCGTTCACAGGATTACTTTTTTTTAATTATCACAAATTTTGTTTTTAAGTTAAAATTTTTGTTATTTTTTATGAAAATATTTTTCATGCTATGACCACAACCATAATTATCAACGTTTCAAACTTTATATAAAATTTAGCAAAATTCAACGAATTGTCAACAAAATTTCTACCTTTCAATTAATTATTTATTTTTGTTTCATTTTTTATATGTTTATTTTATGCAAGTGAGACTAGTGTCTCTTACAGCACATCGACTTATGGTAAACTATAGTTTTAAGAAAATTCTATATAATATTATTTTAAAATTGGAACTAGTTATAAAAGAAGGTAGAAGAAGACATTCGAGAGGTAAGGGAATGAGGAGCGAGAGGTTTTCCAGAGGCAAATCAATAGAAGTGTTTGTATTGTATTATTGAAGCATTTAGCATCCTTCATCATTTTTATAGCGGGTGGAAGAGAGTTACATAATCGTGCAGCATGAACAAAGAACATGCCAGAAGTAACCACGTACGTAGTCTTAGGTATTATGATATTTAGCAAATGCTCGCTTTGCCCAAATTTTAGGTTTTTACATAAGTGTTCTGGTTATGCGGTATGCTTGTGTAAAAAACAATATTTCTTATCTTATCGCATCGACATTTTTTGTAGTTATCGAAAGTATTCCGAGAGTTTACATGTTAGAATATGTTTTGATTTTTTTTACAAATTACATACCAAAAGTATTCTGTCAAGTGTGCAAATCCGCGCAACGTGGACTTGTTCCGATAAGCCGAAAATAAAATGGAAAAAATCTCGATCCGATGTCATACCGAGTAATGTGAAAGGGAGCTAGATGGGAATTTTTAAAGTACGTGAACCGGATGAAAAATTTGGTCGGTACGGTTCAGCGGTTCGAACCGTTCTGGCACCTATTTATTGGTTCGTCAACGCGTTTTTGTCTTCAAACCGGGGTTTCGCTTCGGTTCAACGGTTCAGGAGTTAAAAAACACTTGTGGAAAATTTCGGTTTGGCTAATGGATCAGTTAATTAGAAAAAAAAAGCCGGTTAATCCGGTTAAAAACCGATTCGGTTCAAGTCCCTGAAATTTTTAGACAATTTTGGATATGCAAACCGCATGAAATTTAAATTTAATAAATTATAAAAATGTTTGCTAATTTTTTTTTTTTATTTTTTTTTTTCGGCCGCTGCAAACTTGCACTTTATTGTACTTAAATTTTATGGTCTATAAAACTGTTGAAATTTTGAAGATTTTTTTTTTTTTTGGAAGGGGTGAATTTGTACTTTGATTTATGTACATATATGGTTTTGGTTTTATTTAGCTTGAACAATATTTTCATAAAAAATGCCTGCACATTTTATTCAATAACAAATCATCGTCCGGATAAAATATTTTCGTAAGCTTCATTTTGTTACAGTTATATGTTTCAAAATAACATCTTTCGATTGATGTTATCAGTTTTCGAGATATTAACTAAAATTTTGACGGTAATTTAGTTATCATTTATTATAATGCAGTCATAATAAACGAACCAACATCTTTCAGATGGCGTTATAAATTTTGAACATGGCGTTAGCTTCCGAGATGTCGAGGAGAAAGTATCGTGAATTTAGTACAAATCTGTATCACCTTTTTTGGTTCGTCATACAACAGAATGGTTGCAAAATAGTATGTTTATAAGCCGTTTATTTACATTTTTCAATGCGAGACAAATTTAATTGAATTATTACTACGGACTAGTGTCCGACCGAGCGTTCGGGTTCGGGTTCGATTACCGAACAGTTCGATCATGAAATTCAGGTTCGGTTTCGGAAACATTGGCCGAGTAATTTGGCCGAAAAGTTGTAAAGAAAATGTTTATAAATTATAAACTTTTTAATTTTTTTAATTCAAGTGCAGCAGTAGCGTTTCTGTAATTTGATTTTATTGCTTTTTAGTGGCAACTTTCTTACTTCTTGTCGTTCTTTTAATTTCATTTCCTTCCCGAAGTTTTAAAGCCCCGATAAAACTTTTGGCAAGTTAAATTTTCATAATTGCTTTGTAATTCGATGTCAAATTGAAAAGGAAAGTCTATTTCCACGTGTTAACGGCCAGAAAGAACTTTCTGTCACATTTCGCAAATCAGTTTCAGAAATAAAAAATCCAAAATGTGACTGCAAGAAACGATTTTGAAAATACATTTCAACGTGCTCGTGCTGCACTAGCAATTTTTATTTCTGTTGCAAGTGCTGTCAAACTAATCGAGTGTTGCCGTGTGAAACTGATTGCGAGTTTTTGAGAAGCAATAACGGATAATTTACAATAAAATAACAGAAGTGCTTTTAATTACTTATTTTGCGTTATATAATTGCATATGTAATTTCTACTCTAAAAAGTTTCGGCCGAACTTCAAGAAAAAAAGCCCAGTGTTCGGTTCGGGTTCGGTTTCGGCCAAAAACGCGAGTTCGGTCGGACACTTCTACGGACCATAACAGCATGCAAATCAAGTAAAATATACCAACACAAAGAAAAATTGCCCCAAGTTTAAGCCACCAAAAGACAATAATATGGATTTAGTTATTCACATTCTGTATTAATAGTTAACAATGCGTAGAAGAAAGTCCAAAAAAGTCAAATATCCACTCATTCATGTATTCACGAATTCATGCCACCACTCTTATTCATTTCTTCGCGGTTAATTTTTTTGCCCCTGATATATTCGCAACCCATTAGAAATGAAAACTGCACCTTGTGTTGGTTAAACATTAAAATTGAATTGAGCAATATTTTTCAAACGCATATTTTTGCAGAATAATTTAAACCATTTCATAATATTCATAAAACTAGAAGAAAAGAAGAAATAGATTATGGTTAAGTAAGTTCTGAGCGAGTGAAATGGGTATAATTTTAAAATAGAAGAATTTGTTATGAAATATATATGTATGTATGTAAAGCGTATTTGGATACATTGGCGTTAATAGTTTATGTAATCAAAATTATAGACTTAAGCGTAATTTTAGTAAGAAAGTAAAGTAAGCGAAAATGAAAAGGTTAACACTACTAGACGCTAAATACAGCACTAACTTTTATAAGATAAAAGAAATAGCCAAAAAAAAAATATTATAAATAGAAATAAATAAGTAAATGAAATACTGAGGTGTTGGTTGTTAAATGTTGTGAAGAAAAAATTAAGAATAGTTCGCAAATAAAATATCAGTTACTTAAGCAAAAACTCTTTCTTAAAAAGCAGCATTAGAAATTAAAAAACAAATTTCGTACTTCACATTCCTGATCCGGGTATATCTCTTTGAACGTTCGCTCGATGACTGCATATCTATTAAGGAGGAAAATAAAATAAACCAATATGTGACATACATACGTATGCATGGATTAATATTTGTGTCACAATAATCACTCACTTTGACTGTAAGCCGCCACCAGGAGGAAGACCCTCAATATCCTTATTCTGCAGTGCTTGCAATAAATCAAAGTACTGCGTTATTTCATTGCATTCTATCTCATCTGAAAGAGAAAAGAGATTTTTGGGTAATTGAAAATATTTTAGAATAATAATAGTATACATAAATGCATCAATTCTAGGTGTTAGTAGTATATTAATTTTAAAAGTATGCCAAGGTTTTATTTATAACAAAAAAAAAAGTTTGCGTACTGGAAATATTCTTGCTCAGAAATAGTGGCAACTTGTAAACCCATAAAATAATACGTTTTTCTTTTCAGCACAAATTTTGTGTTACGCGGCTAATTTTAAATGGCAGAAAAATGTTTACATACATACTCCAAAAATTTTAATTATTCAAAAATTTAATATTTTCTTGAAAAAATATAACAAACGTAGGCCTGTGCGTGGAATCCTATAAGGCGAGTTCATCGTTCTGACCCAAAACGATGAATCTGCCTTTAAAGATAATAATAATTTTGTATTTGGAAATCTATATAGCTGGTAAATGGAGAATTTGACGTCAAAATTAAAATATTAAAATGATGTTTCACTTTCTCTATTTTCGCCATGGCGACATTTAGTTACTACTTCCTCTCCTTCTTGATTAAGTCCAGAAAGCTTGCAGTTTAAATTAATAATCATCGATTTTTTTCGATCACAATGAACTAATCTCAGAATCAAGAAGTAAATCATTGAAACTATTCTTTAATTACAAAATACTCTGCGTTGTATAATTATGAGACCGCCACATATTAACAACGTTTGACCATTTATTTATATAATGGGTTGGCGAATTCCCGATATTTTAAAATTAATTAATCTATACTTTACAAATGAAAAATATATGCTTTCAAATGACCAGTAAACAAAACTCTATCTCGCTTGCAGGTAAAAAATAGAACGAAAGCGAGATTGTCACTAAGGTGAAGACGGTGGCCAGCAAGTAGCGTTTTCGTACGCCAAAACTTACAAGAAATCAGCAAAGTAGTAGAAATTGGGAAAGCAAAAAAACCAGCTGAACTTGCAAGTTTTACTGGATAACTAAACTATTTGCCAGTAAAAAAAAAACAGCTGGGTGAAATTCATACAAATAAAGACATTATTTCAGGGGCTTTTGTAAGTGAAATTGAGAAAATAAGCCTGTGTATCTGACTATATATAATAAGACAGGAAATACCGTTATTATTAGGAAATCGCCTCGGAAAATAAATCAATTAGCTGTTCATAAAACTTCCAAATTATTACTGGTTTTACATTTTGTATTTTCTTGGATGTTTCTCCCACTGAGAGCAAATATTATCTTATTCTCAAAAATTTTATTACTGGATAGTACCCAAATAAAGCTACGAGTTTGCCATCATGTCCACAAAGAATTATCACACCTACAGCATTCCAAAAATCTTAGCAAAGAAAACAATTATACTCAAATATGTATGTGCTGTTGCAACAGCGAAAAGGAATAGATACATACAAAAAACATGGCTTCAAAACATACATACATATAGAAGCATGACGACTGGTCGCACATGTTTCAACTCGTTTTAGGTATGAGATAAACTTATTACTATAAAACATGTGCACATCTCGTTACTAAAATAATAATGAATTTAAATAGATCTAATTGGATTTTGGTGTGGTGAAATAAGCTATGCGAAGCCTGCCACTTTTTTAATATTTTCATCTACATAGATGATTCTGTTTATTCCTATTTCAAATCTATTTATTGCAAATGGTTGCAGGTCAAAATTTTACTTTAAATTTGGTTATATCCAAAGAGCCTACATCAAATATGTTCAAACTACGGCCAATGGATATTATTAAATTATAAGTTGAGGGATTTAAAATGCAAAAATCCGAAACTATTTTACAGCTCATGATATGGAATTTGAGTAAGATAATTATGAAATTTTAAAGTTTTAATTATATAAAAGAAAGCATTTCAGCTACTACATTTAAACAGCCATGCCATGCATTATACATAAATTAACAATATATGAAATATAAGTATAATTAGTAAACGTTAATAATTGATTTGGTAATAATGCTAAATAGCTTTAATTAACAAGTAAGTTAAGAATAATTAACTTATTTTAGCAGAGAAAATAAAAACGAATTTTGATATAACGTACCTTATGCTCACGCTCTTTCTAATCGCGCTGTTTCAAACACTCAAATCTATGACCGGTCGAAACGCTTACTTTTTGCTGTATTTTTATTTGCATCTTTGTAACACTTAAAATAGTATTTTATTACGTTCTTCAACGAATGACGGACGGTATGTATGCGAAATTGCAAATCAAAACAAGCAAAAAATAAAATGTATGAAATAAGAGTGTACAAATGTTGCGCAAGCAAAAGTGGTGAACATTATAACTCAAAAGCAATGTAGGATAAATGTGAGTAAAATTTTGTTTGTTCAAGTAGTCTCGTGCAAGACAACCCACATGTACACAGACAGAAGTACAACTCGAGAGATTAATTATTAGGTTTTTAAGTTCAAAATAGGAATTTATTTCTTAACTTGCGAATTTGAGTTTGGCAACGCATCAAAATTCATTTTTACATATTTTCATAATATCATTAGTAAGTTTTTGGTATTTATTGTGGCTTTTTTGTTTATTTTATAATACTAGCTTGCGTTTAAAATTTGATTCTGTTCATATGTGTTATACGATACATTCATTTAACTATTATTACTTTACAGATATTTAAAACTTTTTAATTTGCTAACGTTTTCTATTGCATATACATACCCCGTAGATAATTTCAGGAGTTAAAAGCCCTTCCGAAAGTCCTTCCTGTATGGAGTGGCACATATTGAAGGGCTTTTTCTTTCGCTACCCATGGAAGGCCTTTCAGACGGGCTTTCATAGGACGTACTTCAGAAGGCTTTATCGGGGAGTTCTTTTAAGGTTGCTTTTTTAATTTACAAAAGTCATACATATTTGTAGTATTTACTTAAGGTTTATATCAAATATGTGTTATTGCAACTTAAAATTTTTATTGAAATTCATTTGTAATGCTAAATAATACAAATTTATGCATTCGCGTAAATTTCAAATGGATCAGCCTTCTAGAAGGCATGCAAGGAAGCATTTTTTTCAGCCCTTCGTGGGCAGGTCTCTTTGAATTACTTTACTTAAGAAGGCCTACCTAAATTATCTTCTGGGATAATTCGTATATATATGTACAGAAATTGTATATCGTCGATGTTTTTGCAAAACCGGCCATCGACCAATTGCAAAACCGCTCATCTTATGCCACCCAAATTTTAGAGGTTAGCGAAAAAACGATTTTTATTTGAAGGCATTGCCTTGGTAGGCGGTATTTTGTTGTTTTAATAACGATTTTACTATTTTTATGCATAAATCTCGATGTCTGGAGTTCGGGGTTACCAAATTTAATTTTGCCACAACAGCGATTTAAGCGGTTTTGCGACTAGTCGATGGGCGGTTTTGCAATAACATCGACGATATGTATTCACTTATCCGACATAAGTGTTTATATTATTGATCAATTGCTATTAATTCCTTATACTGTGTGTTTTCGACTTAATAAAAGATATTTTTAATTGTTCTAAAGAAATTATAAACTGTTTAACGTGAGCATAAGGACGCCACTAATTGCTAAGGGATCGCGAGAAGTCATAGTTGTTAGTATCAAATAACCGAGGATGTGCGAGTTATGGGACGTTTGGGAGTAACAGCACTTTCGAACAGCTGTTTTTAAGAGGAGTTTAAGAGGTAGCAATTGCAGTAAATTCTTATTTATGTGCGTTTTTAGATTAGCTTTAAGTTTAATACTGTTTATAAATGATCAGAAACAAAAACTGTCTCACTTCACTTTGATTGCTTTCTAAAAATTTTTTTACCTTTGCTGTAAGTAAATTCTCTAATATACTAATGTAGGATATGTATTTAGAAGTGGTGTTAAAACGTTATTCTATTTTCCTTAGACCTGGACCTGCTTTAAATAATAACTTTACAATTTTTCCGTTTTTTTTTTTAATATTTACACTGAAAGATTTTACATACATCCTCCTTCACTAGCTTGATACTTTCTTCTAAACTTATCCTTTTTCTTGTTAAGCCGAATTCACATTTTTTAAACCGATATTTGAAATTCAATTTGCAATTTTTGTCAATTCCAAATTCTTTTGCAGGCCTTTCGACATCGACCATACGGCATCGAATAAATTTATATAGGCATCTATGTGGTAAGAATGTAATTATATTATAAAAATGGGATTATGGTATAAGTAACGTAGTGACAGGAGTAATCCTTGGCAGTCATTGTAGCTAACCCAATTTAGAGGAAAAAGTATTTATAATCTAAACGAAATTGAGAGTACCAAATACATATGTATGTATAATAAGGTAATAACTAGTAAATGGTGACTTTAAAAATACGGTTTATACGCTGAGGTATTTATATATATATATATTTATATACATTTTTAGGTTGTTCACAATGTCACAACGAGTGTTACTGTCGACGACAATTTCACGACGATTCAAAAATAGGTTTTTTCGAGTTTGCACAACTACAACAAAGTATATGACAGTATGACTCATTATTTCAACTTGCGAAATTCCTAATTGACTAGATAAAACCCCTAGAGTGGATGTGAAACATTTTTCAACAAACAATTTCAGCGGACAAAGGACTTATTTCTCAAGTTTTTGGACAATTTAGTTAAATTGTCTCATCATAATACCATGTGTACATACATACATGCCTGTGCATATGTATCAGTTTTTAAATTCTAACTATTAAATAGTAAAATTATTGCCTATTTACTGTATGCACATTATTAGCCTATAAATTCAAACCTTGCGAATTCTAATTTTTCTCTAATTACACAAAACGGAAATAGAACTACGCTTAAGAATATGATTAGAAACAAAAAAGGCGACTTAAACAACCTCTTGTCAGTTTCTCGATGTGCTTCTCCAATCGCTTTTCTGCCTCAATAGCTTCATCAGCTGGTTTGGGTGCCCCGGGGAAAGCGATTATTATTATGCTCATATTGTCTCGGCTGCCCTGTAAAGGTAAAGAAAACACAATCAGTATGCTATATCGAGATTTTAGGAAAATACGATGGATATGTTTAATATGTTAATATTTGCGCACCTTGTGCAAGCAGGTATCAACGACTTGATTTGCTATATTCACTAAATCATTAGTTACTCTCAGTCTCGAATGGACAAAACTGCATACATCTTCATTAGTCATTACATCCCATATACCGTCACAAGCTAAAACTAAAAACTCATCTGTATCTTGTCTACTTTGGCAAAAGATCTCAGGTTCCGGAGACACTAGTTGTTCGCATTGTCCCTTTTCTTTTACATTTTTAAAATCATAATCGCCGAGCGCCCTTGAAACCGCCAATGTACCGTTGACCCGTTTAATCATAACACTTCCACCTGCATTATGTATGCGCAACTTTTCTTCGGGTAAAATGGGCTTGTGATCTTGTGTAGCAAACACAGGTACACCCTGTCTACATAGAACTGCTCGCGAATCGCCGCAATTCGCAATATAAACTTGTGTTGGCGATACAAACGCACATACTGCAGTCGTTCCGCCACATTTCTCAGCGTCCTGTGTCAATTCGGGCAACTCTCGCATCACTTCATCGATATGCAGAAATCCGGTCCGAATGCCCTTCACGTGGTCGCCATTCTTAAATTCATCTGTGCTAACGATACTATCAAGCAGATGCGAGGCACAATGCTCAGACACTTTACAACCGGCATGTCCATCAAAGACGGCGAAGAAGCTCCAATCTTCAAGACCGCTTCCGAGACCGGCACGCGCGTAGTATGCGTCCTCCATTTCGCATCGCCATCCTTGCATTGAACTAACTCCAAATAGGAGTTTATTGCCTTCGCCATGATCGTTATGTTTAGTTGTTTTCGGCTTATCCAGGAAACCGCCCATCACTTTTGTGCATACTGTGTTAAATGGTGCGCGGGGAGCAAAGTAACTGAGGCGTTCGGTGGATCAATCGCACGGTTAGTTATCCGGTAAATTAGTTTCGCATGTATAGCTTCGGCCGATTTTAAATTAGTTTTGTTGGTTTCTGACAAATTTTGCTTTTATTTTTTAGATCGTTGAGCGAATCTTTTAATTTGCAACTGTCTGAAAAACGAATGAAACGGGAAATGCATAAGTACTCAAAAATGGTTATGCATAACAGTGAAATTATCACAAAACTAATAACGTTTGATTAAAAATTTAATTCCCAAGAAGTGACTAACCAGATGCAACTATTTAATAAAAAAAAATAATAATCTTCATATAAATATGAGTTATTTTTACACTAGTCTACTCGCTGCAATGTTGGTGTATTTTCGTGTACTGCTGAGGTAGAACGTCACATTGAAAAATCAATGATTACACAATTCGCAAAAGCAAGCGCATTTTTCTGCATTCAACATCCGCAAATACCCCAAGAATAAATGCCTCATTGCCATGAAGAGTGAATGCAAATACTTAATGCGTTTTCCCAGTCAATAAGGCAACAAAAAAATTTAAAATACACATGACAGGCGACAAACTGGCTGACAAATCGCAATGCACAAATAAAATGTATGAACATACAAATATACATACATAGCCACATATGTAATATATGCCCGTTTGTACCTGAGACATATGTTTTACAGCATTGGTACCTTTGTGGCATTCATACATACATATGTAGCTACATATGCCTTTTCATTGATGGTTTTAGATCGTGGCTATTACATACATATATCACCCTTTGAATTTCCAAATCTATCTGCACTTACTAATTTTTTCTTAGCTTCTCCATTACTGTATACTTTTTAAAAATGTATCTTTTACATAGTACTTTTTAGTGCTTATATTGGTAACTGAATGTTTCAGTTATTTCGCGTGTAAAGTTAGCAAAATAAATGGAAATTTTGTATAAAAAGATATATAGTCAGCAAGCGCGTTAGCGTTAAAATATGAACAGGAGACCTGAATGTCGAATTTCCCTTTGCACCTCGAGTAGGTTACAGGCAGCCTAAGTATTTATATAGAGATGTGCTTTAGAGCCACATTTATTTGTTAGTAAACGGTCAGAGTTGAGTGTGTGAGAGACGGAAAATCGAAATCAAAGGAAAATGCACAAACATGAGTGTATCTCAAAAAACTATAATACATGAGTGAGTAAGATGTGATTGCTTTACAGAAAAGAGGTCACAGAATATGTTTATAAATGGGTATTTGTGGGTACGACCTGCTCGCTATTCAAATCAATCAAAATAAAATTATAAATCTTCCCCCTGACGGTGCGATATTGTGGCTATTGAGAAATGAGTCATACACAGTATTCAGAGTAGTACTCACCCCTTTCATTATATGATCCCCAGAATTATGTCTGCAATAAGTTTTTCCTCTTTTTCGCTATATGAAAGAAGGGTAAAACTTTTGACTGTGTGGTAAAAACTTAAACATATATGTGGAAGCAATTTTCATCATAAAACCCCATAATATCCCGTGGCATTGGACTATCTGAAGAAGAGCCCGAAAATATAACAGGAACGAATTAATGTGGCAGGAAGGGTAGTTAAATAACTGCTGAAGTAATCGGACAGCAGAATATAATAAGTTCCTTTATGGAAATAATAAGCTTTATGCCTCTATCCAAAAGAGTGGTGCCAGTGACATATCCAAAAGTTAGCTACTTGGAACAACATGATTTACCACAAAATTTATATGTATTTGAATCTCTCTGTCAGAAGTAAAGTAATAAACAGATTTAGTATTTAGGTTGAAGAAATAAATAGCTAAACCACAGCGCACTTTATGGCACGAAAATGCATTTTTAGCAGAGACCCAAAAATAATTGTTATCCTAATCAAAAATGTCGCCATGTCTTAAAAGAAATTTCAAAAAAAAAATATTTCCAACTGACATTATTAATAAATTAGTGCACGGTCTTCATCAAAAGTGATGAACTGCTAATAAACTTGATCAAATGATAAATTTAAAATTTTGATAAATGAACTGTCAAACTTTGTATGGAAATCTATTTAACCTAAGTTTATCACTTTATCAAACGATTTTGGTGGATAAATGCAGATTAGAAAACTATTTTTCCTATTTCCTACATGGAAAATATTTTCTTTATTTTATAAAAATACATTATATATTACATGTTAAGTTTATTTTTAATCTTTAATTTTATGAAATTCCAATTTCAAAGTTGAACAAAAACTGAATTTCTACCAAGACATATCTAATCAATGTACCTTGACTTCTACAAAATTTTCTACCGCTTAAATAACTTTTTGAAAACGAATATTTCAGGTAACAGCCTACCTTTTTATCGAAATATATTTCAAATAGTTATTTTCAAAATAGTATTTTAATTGTTTATGAATAATTTTTGAAACAAAATACAACGTATTATTTATTGACCTAAATATATTTTTATAAATTAAAAAAATATTTTCCATGTAGGAAACATATTTTTCTAATTTGCATAAATTTCAGCCCAATTCCACCCTGACAAGTCAGGTGGTCGCTTTTGCTACAAACGCATAAAAAAACACAATACGTCGCCTGGGTAAAAGATTGTCGTGTGTTGATTTCGGCAGGTTGTGGGAAATCGCGATTGAAGTTTGGAACGCGAAGATAGATATTCTCCAAAGTCTACTAGTTCACAAAACTCGTAAACTATTTATTTTTTAATGTTTAATGTTAATTAGCTTTGAATTTATGAAGGATTTTCTTTAGTAAAATTTTGCCGTAAGCGTCATTTGTCCAAAATTTGGCAGCCACTTTGTATGAAATACGACAAAACGTGATCTAAATTTATACTAAATTAACGACACTTTTTACTCAATATCTCGGAAACTAAAGGAGATATCCAAAAATGGAGAACATCATTTTTAAGATATTGATTAGTTTAATATCGCTGCATCACTAACTAAATTTTTCTAAATTATAGAAAAAATTTTAGTCAATATCTTGGAAACTAAAGGAGATATCTGAAAACTGATAACACCAATCGAAAGACCTTATTTCAAAATATATAGCTGCATCTAGAACTAAAAATCGTCAAAATTGCGCTTACGACAATCTTTTACCCAGGCGACGAATAGTAGAATAGTAGCGTTCTTGTACGCGATAATTTGTACCAGTTTTTACTAACTAGCACGTTTTGGTATTCTTGTACCCAAAAACCTTGTAAGAAAGGGGAAATTGAGAGCGCAAAGCGACATTTCATTTTGAGGAGAAGTTGCTAGTTTCTACTGGATAAAGTTTTAGGTGCAATCCCGTATTCCTCGGACTCAGACTAGTAAAACTGTCAAAAAATAAAAATTCGCTCAGAGCGAGAGAGTAACATTGAAAAGTACGGGATCGCTTTCTAGTAAAAAATTGTAACTTCTGTCAACTTCAACATAACCTCCAAATTTTGGTTGTAAATTTTTGCTTATTTTGTATGTAAACACACCCAGCTCACACATGTAAATAACCAAAAATACTTTCAAATTCATTAGAATCCACTTAAACAAGTAATTAAATACTTTTCAACATGAATTAGCAGAGTGGACTTTTCTTTTGTTTACAATTTGGTTGCCAAACACACTACAGCTGATCGTTTGACACATTTACCAGAATTTACCAGCAAAAAATTCTCGGACTAAAACTGGTAACTTCTGACAGAGAGAGAACCGTATTTACTCTCTTTTTTGTCCTCTCAATAGTCAGAGAACCGAGTACGGGATCGATTTCCAGTAAAATCTGACTGGTTCTGACTATTTCTGACTAGTGCGGACTCGTACGGGATCGCAACTTTTACTAGTAAGAACTTGCAAGTGAGAAAAACAGCTGATCGCATGTTGCTGGGTGCAGTTGAAACTAATAAAAGAAATGAAGTTGACAAAATAAACCTATTTAAATATGATATATATTGTTATATTAGAAACTAGCTGCAAATAAACAACAAATTAATCAGCTGTTGGTAAAACTTGCAAATTATTACTGCTTCCGCGTTCTTGTACTTTTGTGATATGAGAGCGAATTCTCAGAAATTAAGTTATTGGAGATTTACTGGCAAGTTACTGGATAATTTGTAAGAGAACACAACTATTGTCTTCCCAGAGAGTTTTGCTTCACATCGAAATTTGTGCTACCTTATTTTCATTTTGACGCAGTTCAATGTTGATTCTCTTACTTTTATTTGGCTTTACTTTTTGTTTTTGCTCAATTTCATTTTTGCGATTTTTCAAAACCAAAAGAAAAAACGTTTGAAAAGTGAGGCATATAAATTGAATTTATTTACTAAGCAAATGTTTTTTTTTCGGCTTTTGCAAATTAAAGAAGTCCTCTGCAAGAAGGTTTGTGTACATATGTAGATATATGGTATATGGGGTATGGAAATATCCCTTTTCCCTAGCAGTAAACCTTTTAGTGAGGGCAACAATGATGCTTTTCAAATAAGGCATATCGGGATTTACGCTCTCTGGGAAGACAATACCTGTAATTAATGTGTATCGGGGTTCAATAATAAACAAATTTATGCAATTATTTACTAAGGTGCGTTCTTTTAAGAATGTTGATTAACTGATTAACTTATCAGTTTATCCCTTTATCACTTTAGACAAGGACCCCTAAAGTTTTTTATATTCTTTTGATACAAGTTAATAAATACAATTACAGGGAAAAACATCAGAGATCTAGTATTGGTTTTTCAGTTAACTAGTTGAAGTTGAAATACTGCACATATATGTAATTCTTTTACTGGGATATGAGTAACAACCACTTGACAGAGCTACAAGTATGTATGTACATATTTCAAATGCAACAAAGCATTAATTTGTTGTGAAAAGTTTCGACTCAAAACTTTGGAAGCAACTCACGGTTGGTTGCTTTCTACTTAGCTCGATGATGCACAGCGGAGTCCCCTGTTTTCAGGTACACACTCGCACCCTGGGGAAAACGCTCTTTGTGATTACTTCAATGTTCTCTCGATTCCTTCTCTTCTAAAATTAGAAACCAATATGACAACATCGCTAGCCAATCGCAAACGATTATTATGGCGTATCAAACTGTGGCGCATCTTCTCGGTGCACAAGAAATGTTTAAACTAGTATTTTAGAATTCCGGCTACATTTTTCTTCTCTTGTATTTATTTAACAAGGATTAAATCAGTCCCAACTAACCACATTTGGTTAAATCTTTAAGCACTTAAAAATTCATATAAAGCATGGGCACAAAAGAGAACAAGAAAATCTTTGGTTATGATACTCGGGCGGTCGGCCTATTCCCTTGCCAATCGCATGCGCTTCCTCGGTTTTCTGATTTTCGCAAGAATGATTTTAGAACATAACGTAAGTGTTATAAGTATTAAAAACGTGAAATTAATTATTCTTCCAAGTATACTACATACATGACACCCCCAATTCGCTCACCTCAACAGTAAAACGCACCAAATGGCTTCGTCAACGACCAAAAACTACGTCCTTTTTGTTATTACGTTTCTAAAGTACAATGCACAAGCAATAAATGCTTTGCAACATGGTAAGCCGTTCTCTACTATTTTTTTGCTGTTTTCAGTGACCTTTTGCCAACAATTTCATTTAAAATATAAAATACATGCGAAAACGCGACCACGGCAAAAGATTAACGAACGAGTGAATGAGAATAAGTAGCGAATGCAAAAATATGGAAATGGCTGCAATGCTGCCACCATTGCGTATGAATTTATACACAATTTTTATGTAATGGTTGCCCATGTGTCTCGTTCATGATGGTTGCCCCTACGGTCTAAAAGTAACGAATACCCGAATGCGATGCGCCTTGTGAGTACCCATATGTAATTACACCAAGGAACATAAACCAAAAATACAAGATCACGAACGCGACGTTCTTTTTGTAACTGGTCTTGAGAAAAAAGTTTGCGAAAGCGGGTTCGTCAACTGAGCGTTTGTTTACATCACAATATTTTACGCTTTTATTTAAGTAAAGACGAGTTAATTCAACATGACAACACATTTTGAAGCATGCTAATGCATCATTTTACCCAAATTGTGTGCTCAAAACATATTCTTTTTTCACTCTCTTGTTGTTGCGCGGTCTTGTGCTTTACGTTCATGACCAAAGCGAATTTATACAAGGTGGTGTTGTAAAATCAGCTGATTTCTTTGCCTTACGTGTATTTTGTTTTTGCTTTTACTGATTTGACAGCACACCCATCAAAAGCAAAAACAAAATACATGTCAACTTTGGAGGGAATTAAGATTTGGCATAACACCCTCAATACAAAATACATGTGTTTGTCGTGGTTGTAATCTAAATTCGCCAGTAACACCACCTTGTATCAATTCGCCTTGTTCATGACTGCAACTTGTTCATGACTGCATATCAAAATATAAAAAAATATAAAAATATTCGCCATAAAAAGGCGTTTGCATTGTTCAACTTTGCATTCTACTTTTGGTTGAACGGCCTTTCAACTAATCGCTTTCAACAAAATTGGTCGCCAACCAATATTTAGCCATTCAACTTTCTTTTCGTGCAACCCTACGTGAGTTGACCGCAAAAGTTGAATGCAAATTCGCCTGGTGCGAACGGCCTTTTAGTTCTCAACATAACCTCAAGTTGAGCTCAAACCTAAATGTTTTTTGGGATGTAGTTAATCAATATCGTATTACAACGATTTGTTTGTCAAAAATGCAGCCAGAATTAAGGCTCTGTTATGCATACTTGGCATTGCATGCACTGCTATACCATTTTTACGTAGAAATCAAAAACCAACAGACTTTTACGTATGTAATGCTGTGCGTTGGGTAACCGCTTACACGCGAAGCTCATTTAACAGATTCCTTATGTGACAACTCTCAAGCAATGCCAAGTATGCATAACAGAGCCTTTATCCAAGACTCAAAATATCAGAGAGTAAGAAAAAATTCTCTCAAACTCTCTCTCGTGTTGAGAAACTTGCAAATTTCTGCAAGAACGGAAATTTGCAGGAATTTGCAAGTTTTCCTGCCAGCTGGTGTCCACGGTTGCATTTCAAACACAATAAATTTTTAGAGTGTTTTTAAGATTCTTTCAGATGGGCAAAAACAGGATATACATATATATTTCATGTTGTTCTGACTTCCTTTAACATACATATCAATTTCTTTATCATACCAGCTGTCGGGCTTCTTAAATCGACTCTGGTTGCAATTGCATTCCGATTGCGAACACAATTATTTTCAACCGAGTTAAGTACAAATCTTTCGAATTAACTAAATTAATTATATCAACAAGTATTTACTTCCTTTTTTAGCGAACTAATTTATTCAAATTACCATGGACAAAAATTCAACCATGCACCACAATCACATGTTTTTCGTGTTTGCAAATTCTCGCTGGAAAAAGTTTTGCCAAGAGAACTGTCACTTTGCTCTCACAATTTTTGAGTGTTGGATAATTTTTTGGTCTGCACGAACACGATCTGCGCAAAAATCACGATAATTCGTACAATTTTTTGCTCGACGAATAAACCTAATAATTCACTTCACAGTATGCATTCCGGCAGTAATTTTGCCACTTGATTAATTTCACGTTTTATTTTCCTTGTAAAACTTTCGTTTCTCTTTCACTTTTTACGTATCTGCGCGTTGGTTAGAGATGAGAGACAACAATTTTTTCCTCAAATTATGTACAAATTGAATATTTGATTTTCTATCCCTGGTTCTTAGATACTATGAGAGTTAAGTGTGGATACACCTTAATATTCTGTTTTGTTTAAGAATCCGGTGCGTGTCCATTCCATTATAGCGGACATTTTTTCGAGTGTATGCCGCACTTGGTCGAAATCCATTAGCTTTATACATATATTTGAAGTAATTTGTTATTTTTATTATCCCGCATCAGGAAAATACCTAATAGTTTCATCAGTAATCTGAGGCAAATTTTTTGTTCTTACGGTTGCTCGTAACAACCATGCCGACAATTAAAGTAACTCCTTTAGGAGCTGGCCAGGATGTTGGTCGCAGTTGCTTGCTGTTATCAATGGGTGGTAAAAATATTATGCTTGATTGTGGTATGCACATGGGCTACAACGATGAACGACGTTTCCCTGATTTTTCATATATTGTGCCAGAGGGTCCTATAACAAGCCATATTGATTGTGTCATTATTTCACATTTTCATTTGGGTAAGTTTTGCTAGTTTGTTTGCTAGTAAGTCAAGATTATCATTTTGATATTTTTGGCACAGATCATTGTGGTGCCTTACCGTACATGTCCGAGATGATAGGTTATTCGGGACCAATTTACATGACCCATCCGACTAAAGCCATCGCGCCAATTTTATTGGAAGATATGCGTAAGGTTGCTGTTGAGCGTAAAGGAGAATCAAATTTTTTTACCACTCAAATGATTAAGGATTGCATGAAGAAGGTTACAGCAGTCACATTGCACCAAAGTGTAATGGTGGACAATGAACTGGAGATTAAGGCCTACTATGCAGGTCACGTGTTAGGCGCCGCTATGTTTTGGCTGCGCGTGGGATCACAATCAGTTGTCTATACTGGCGATTACAATATGACACCTGATCGTCACTTAGGTGCGGCATGGATTGACAAGTGCCGACCCGATTTGCTAATTTCGGAAAGTACATATGCAACAACTATACGCGATTCCAAGCGGTGCCGAGAACGTGATTTCCTGAAGAAAGTACATGAATGTGTAGCAAGAGGAGGAAAAGTTCTTATTCCAGTATTTGCGTTGGGTCGTGCTCAAGAGCTATGTATTCTATTGGAAACATATTGGGAGCGTATGAACTTGAAATTTCCTATTTATTTTGCCGTGGGCCTAACGGAGAAAGCAAATACCTATTATAAAATGTTTATCACTTGGACAAATCAAAAGATACGTAAAACATTCGTACAGCGTAATATGTTTGACTTCAAGCATATTAAACCATTCGATAAGGCCTACATTGACAACCCTGGTGCAATGGTTGTTTTTGCTACACCAGGAATGTTGCACGCTGGCTTATCGCTGCAGATTTTTAAGAAATGGGCACCGAATGAAAATAACATGGTCATCATGCCAGGTTATTGCGTACAAGGTACAGTGGGAAATAAAATTCTTGGAGGTGCGAAAAAGGTGGAATTCGAAAATCGACAAGTAGTTGAGGTAAAAATGTCGGTCGAATATCTAAGCTTCTCTGCACATGCTGATGCAAAAGGTAAGCACTGGTACAAATATTTGCCTTTATTTATATTTATAAATATTACAGGTATTATGCAGCTAATACAAAACTGCGAACCAAAGAATGTTATGCTAGTACATGGTGAAGCTGAGAAGATGCAATTTTTACGAAGTAAAATAATGGAGGAGTTTAATACTGAGACATATATGCCTGCAAATGGAGAGACTTGTGTCATTTCAACTCCAGTAAAAATTCCAGTTGATGCCTCTGTCTCATTGCTCAAAGCAGAGGCTCGCGCCTACAATGCCCAACCACCAGATCCAAAGCGTAGACGACTCATTCACGGAATACTTGTAATGAAAGACAATCGCATAATGCTGCAGAATTTGACAGAAACCTTGAAGGAGTTCGGCATTAATCGGCACGTAATGCGCTTCACTTCAAAGGTAAAAATGGATGATCCAGGTCCACGCTTGCGCACCTGCGAAAAGCTTTTTGCTCTGCTACAGGATAAATTGGTTGGCTGGACAGTAAGCATGCAGGAGAATTGTACCATATGTGTAGAAACAGTAGAGATCAAAATTGAGGAAGATGAAAAGGATCCAAAGCACAAAACTCTACTTTTATCGTGGACTAATCAGGATGAAGATATTGGCGCTTACATATTAAATCTACTTCAGAATATGTGTTGATATGAACGTTTCCCGAATTTCCAGCTATTACTTCTTAATACATATTAACTTTGTTATTACTAAGCAATACAAAGTTGATAATAAAATATATTTTTATTGTACGAAAATTGTAGAAAAACTATGTGATTAGTAGCAAAGCATAAAAGTACATATTTAAAAAGTCCCGTCGCACTGTAGAACTCATCTGTGCATCATAGACAAATAGACAGCTGACTAGACAAGTAGACAATATGAACCATTCGTCATTTAAGAGAGCTTTGGTTGTTGCCCCACAGATGCATTCGACCCCATGTGTGCTGCATGGTGCACCAAAGTTTTACCTTGGAAATATCTTCTGCCAGTTACAGTACTGGAAGAGGGAGTCGAACTAACGTTTGCTGATGTAGTTGCTCCCGAAAATAATAATGTGTCCACCGAAGGCAATTTTTGGCTTTTTGAAGACTGCGTGAGCAGCGGCATTCCCATTGCGGACATTGGGTGCAAGTAGAAATGATTGATAATCGCTTGAGTTGTCGCCGGCCTAGCATTTGAATTTGACGGCACCATCTGTGTTGTCACTTGAGGCAACAGGTGTTGCAATTCAGCCACGGTTTGCTGCGCCAAAGAATTATTGTGACTAGTGACCGTAGTTAGAGAGTGTGTGTTTGACTTAAAAGAATTTATAAGGAAATTATTTGTTGATGCTACAGTGGACTGCGCATTGGCAACACCATTTACGCTGACCGGTTGCAAGGGTGGCATAACAGCCGGCGTTGCGGAAAGTTCGACAGATGCTGGGGACGAGTACGGCGATGATTCCAGCGAAGAACACAGTAGCCGCTGATTCATGTCCTTTAGTGAAACTGAAATTCGAATTTAATATTATGTTTTGTTAAACTAGCTAAGATATTAAAATATTTACCATAATCCTCTTCTTTGATGCGCGTCGATGACAAATCCATCGGATCAAATTCTTTCTTTATTTTGAAGTGCAGCGCTGCCGTAGCCTCAGAAGATGAAATGGCATTATCTGTCTCCATGCCAGCGGAAGGCTGTGGCACATATAATCCACACTCTTCCATTTCAAGTGCTTGCTCCATAATAAGTTCTTCAGCAGAAGTGATACTCAGATCGGGAAAATTACTAATTGCACAACGCGTGTCGGCCAATAAAGATGTGCTTAAATGTGATTTTAAGTTACTTTCTGGTTCGCAAATTTCCCGTTTAATGGAGGATAGCAACGATATGGCGGGACTGGCTTTTTGCACTTGTTTGGGTGAAGGCTGCTTTCGCTCACGCTTTGGCTTAGCCGTTTTGCAAGTATCATTTTTGTTTAGTGCTACTACTGTTATTGGCTTTAAATTCCCCGCTATAGACAAAGGAATGGATGTCATAATGTTGTTCGTGCGTATCACTTCAGTTTTGATAATTGCAGACAATTTGGAAACAGCGATTGAGGGTAAATTATTATCATCTCTAATTGCTACCAATGGAGGGGGCTGTGCCGGCGTTGGCAATGGCAACTGTTGCGGAGATTTTTTCTTTCGCTTAGAAGCTGGAGGCTTTGCTGTTTCTGTAGTTGCTCCATTACCTATTGTTGCTGGTGCAGGAGTTTTATTTGCCTCAGGTTTTGTTGTTACTAAAGGCTGAGCAGGGGTTGTGGTATTTGTATCAGTTGCCTTTGCTTTAGTAGATTTCGTCGATTTTTTAGAACAATAAGAGGGAATGTTTTCCAAATGCTCGCCAGTTTTGTGGTCTACTTTGTGACGGCGGCGGGTGTGTTTCAGCCAGTTAGGGAAGTTGGTAAAGTCCCGTGGACAATAGTTGCATTTGAATGGCCTTTCGCCGGTATGAATATTAGAGTGCTGCTTTAGTTTGGAATTACTTATAAATGACTTATCGCAAACGTTACAAGCAAATGGTCTTTGCTCGAGGTGAACAAGGTTGTGCACTTTAAGACAACGTTCAGTTTTGTACATTTTGCCACATTTTTCGCAACGGTATGATCTTGTCTGAGCATGATATTTTTGGTGGCGTTGCAGATGAGAACGTTCTTGGAACCTAAATTAGGGTTAACACATTAGTTATTTATTTAAAATACAAATATAAATGTAGTACGCCTTGAAAATTACCTCTTCTGACATTCTGGACATTCGTAAGGCTTCTCAGCGGTATGGATACGGGAGTGATGAGTCAAGTTGATCTTTTGTACAAATTTTTGGCCACATATATCACAGCCGTATTTTTTGTTATCACTATGGATTTTGCGATGCATCCACATGCTGCCTAATTTAAGACTAAAGAGAAAACGGTAATTTGTATATCCAAAAAATGAGGCAAAAGAGAAGAGCTTACCATTTGCCGCAGTCGGGACATTTTTTCCAAGCATCTTTTCTCGGATCTGCTGAACGATGCGTTTTTACATGTTTCTTCAAACTCGCCTCTTGTTCAAAGTCACGGTCACACACCGAACACCGATAATGAATACGATGTCCGACAGCCTCATGCGTAGCATATTCCCCTCGCCCCTGCAATATGAGACCATCACAGTCTAGGCACTTAAATACCGGCTCAGGAATTTTGGCACCGGTTTCTAGTGGAAAGGGTCCTTTAATAACCTTAACATCAGCCTGTGATGTTAGTAACGAAATGTTATTATTATTACTACTACTACAACTTGGTCCATTATCTTCTGGTAATGTAAAAATATTGAAACTAGATGATGAGATCTGTTTGTTGCTACTGACTACAACATGATTGATGGGTGCACGTTTGATATCATTTGTGTTATTTGCAACGGTCTGGATATTATCAACTGCGGCATCGTCAAGATGAGTTGCATTCAATTGGTATGAATGGCCAATTGCATGCATGTCCTTTTTTAAATCCCGTCTAATTTTCTCTTTAGACCTGTCGATTTGTCGTTGTTGATCCGCCTGAAGTGGTTTTATCAATAAACGTTTTAGGGGAGAAGGAGTAGGCGGAGGTGCTTCGGGTCTAAGAAACGTTCCACTAAAACTTGGTTGTGGTTTTTCTTCTTTTATAACAACACCTCCTATAACTTTTGCATCACCATTCGAAATAAAGTACTTTTCAACGTTCTTATTTTTGAGGTCATAACCAACATCTGGTAGTACATCCACAATAGAGCAGTCTTCAAGACCATCGTCACTTAAACCACCACTTAAAAGTTGCTGCTGAAGTTCATCACTGGCATTTATTAACTCCAATTGGGATGTTTGAGCACTTTCATCCAGAACACGCCAAAAATCAGTACTAGATAGACTATTAGTAGCTAACATAGCAGCAGAGTCGCCGCTAATGGTGACACAGGCAGACAAATCTATATCCAACGATTCGTCTTTGATGTTAGAATCGAAGTTATTGAGACGTAACAGGGAGCTTAATATTTCATCATTGCCCCCCACTTTGGTGGGTGTGCTAGGTGCCATATTTGCTGGCGCTGCTCTGGGTTTTCGCGGTATTTTTTTGCTGCTTGGCGCTTCTTCTTTCATGTTCGTTTTGACCGTAGGCTCTACTGTTGTTGTTGGTCTTGAGGTTATGCGGTTTTTTGCACCTCGTCGCAACGGCGTGTACTTAAACGTTTACAAACACAAAACAAACACTTCACTTTTGTGGTACGTCCATAGCACAAGGTTGTGCATATAAACTCACAATAATTCCGAGTCCTTTATTTGGTATTTCACAAAATTTACGATTAATTACGGAATGACGCCTTGTTTATTTTGCACACACATGGAAACGTTCAGAAAGTGTTTGATGTAAACGCCATTTTGAAGAGTGCAGCCAAGTTGCATTCGTCGTGGCAGAGCGTTGCGTTCGATAAAAATTTGTAATATAAATAAAAAGCAAGAATTGCTACAATGATAGGTTTGTTTGATGAGCTGCTCTAGGTTACACCGGGGTCTAGATTCTGTACCTGGGGCAAGTTTTTCAGTGCCGGTTTAAACTTAGATTAAGTAAACTAAGTTTAAATTGAACTGCTGGCTGACATTTGATTGGCTGACCTTAGTTTAAACCAGCCAGATCGGGCGTTTAAACTTAGTTTAAACCACGGCTGTGTACTGAAAAACTGGCCCTGAGTTTTCAGGTGTACATTGAAAATTGTGTAAGGATGAGTTTTAACCGTCAATATTGTGTGCAATTTTCGTCCAAAAAACTCACTCAATTTTATTCGGCACAATACATTTTCTCACAGTTACAGAATCCAGCTTCAGGTTAAGATATCTTTGATGAAATTTATACATTTATCCACCAAAATCGTTTGATAAAGTGATAAACTTTGGTTAAATAGATTTCCATAAAAATTTGTTCATTTATCAAAATGATAACTTTATCATTATGTCATTAGCTTGTCACTTTTGATGAAGACCCCTAATATTTCTCTGGTATGTACAAAAGTGGCAAAATTGCAGAAAATCAACCCGATTTTTTAGCAATTTGAAAATTGCAGCTTATTTCATTAAAATTTAATAGGCTACAAAATTGGAGATTCAAAATTTTTCTAGAAATTCTTTAAAAAATATATATGTATATAAAACATAACATTTTTCGAAACTTTAATTAGAGGGTTCCCTTTAACTCGTAA